TCCATCCCACACCTTCTACTTGGAACTCTCTCCCATTCTGAGTGCCAAAGGGCATCCTTCTCTATTAAAATACCCCTTTACAAGCAACTGCTTCTGGGAGGTATGTCAGCAATAAGCCATTGTGTACTGTAGAGAAACTGTAGTAACTCACAATTGAGATCTGAATTGTTCCATTATACGGCTGATTTTTACACATCCAATTGCTCAACTTTACCAGAATTAACAAATCCATCTGAAAATTGCCCTGCAAGATCCAATGGAATGGTAGAAGCTTCCTGGGAAGCTTGAGGAGGACTGACTGAGGTATTCACAAGATAACAGAGATCCGAAAATGAGGTGGGCCAACTTTCTGAAATATTTCCTAATACTGTTTTGCCCCTTCACAGCTCAAAACCAGCTTGAGCTAGAAGTGCCAAATTTGATTTGTTGAGCTGGTCTCTTTGAGAAGGACAAAAGGTTTCTTCATTATTAAAGGGGAGGACCTGCTTAGTCCCACTGCCCACACAATACAAAGGCTTGGGCTCCAGAGTTTTCAAACTCTGAACCAGCCAGAATGGCAGCCTCTGAAACTGTCACATGTAGTTCCAAACACCCGAAGGCTCATGTTAGAACTGCCACATCATGTGCATCTTAGGATGTCCTTAGCCCAGGCTGCAAGCAAATTTCACATAAATATTTTCCCATGTTAAGCCATAATGGGCTTAAATTGCCAATGGGCTTAAACTGCAGCAAGGGCGGTTTAGGTTGGACATTAGGAACAACTTCCTATCAGGGTGGTTAAGCACTGGAATAAATTGCCCAGGGAGGTTGTGGAATCTCCATCACTGGAGATTTTTAAGAGCAGGTTAGACAAACACCTGTCAGGGATGATCTAGATAATACTTAGGGCTGGTCTACACGTGGGGGGGGGGGGGGTGTGATCGATCCAAGATACACAACTTCAGCTACGTGAATAGCGTAGCTGAAGTCAAAGTATCTTGGATCGAATTACCTGGGGTCCAGACGGCGCAGGATCGATGGCCGCGGCTCCCCCGTCAACTGCGCTACTGCCGCTCGCTCTGGTGGAGTTCCGGAGTCAACGGTGAGCGCGTTTGGGGATCAATATATCGCGTCTTAACAAGACGCAATATATCGATCCCGGATAAATCGATTGCTACCCGCCGATACAGCGGGTAGTGAAGACATACCCTTAGTCCTGCCATGAGTGCCAGGGGCTGGACTAGATGACCTCTCAAGGTCCCTTCCAGTCCTACGATTCTATCATAATTCTGCTGTGCTTTGCTTCAGTCAGTCACTGAAAACTACCACATTAGTAGTTCACAGATGTCCAGAATAATCCACATACCCTTTAGAAATCTGTAATGGGTATCAAAGCATCTCATGGTTACATGCAGTGTTGTAGCCTTGTCAGTCCCAGTATACGAGACACAAGGTGGGTGAGGTAATCTCTCAAGGTGGATGAGCTCTGACCAACAGAAGTTGGTCCAATAAAAGATATTACTTTCCTCACCTTGTCTCTCTATGAAAGCATCTCTGGCATTTTGATACATTTTAAAATTAAGGAAATCATACAGAAAAAAAAATTGTAACCAGCAGTTAAGGTAGGAAATAGTGAGTATGAATTACTTGGGGGGGGGGGGGCTTAATAGTGTAGTTTTCTCACAATAACACAAGTGGGAGAAAGTCTGGGGAGTCAGAGTTACAGTTACACTTGATCAATCATTAAAATATACAATGATGCACAAATTAGGTCAACTAAATAACCTTAATACAGCCCACAGTAAAACCAAGAGGCAATCCTCTCCTCCCATAACACATGGACCAGAGCTCAAAGAGCCAGGATCTACATTGACTCTAAAAACTGAGAAGTGATCTGACTAAATTAGCTTATTTGTGTTGATGGGCTAATTGGACTCCAACAATACAGTGGGAGCCAAACGTGTGTTGTCATATTATGACACTTATCACAGACACCTGCCTAACATATCTGGGGCTATGGACCTCAAGGTCTAGAACCAAAGTTAAGTAGTTTACAGGGAAGTAAGAGGACATGGAATCATATCTATCTATCTGCCATATATGTACAAATCTGAAGCCACGCACTCCAGTTCCTTGACTCCACAGGCAAATATACATAAAGCATATTTAAGATTTACTAAAGAGCTCATCAAAATGTCTCTCTTACAAGTAACATGTATAGTTAGTACAGTACTAAGAACACAGAAAATATATTTTTTTACAGTGTATTAGTTTTATTCATACATTTCTCTAAAGCTGAATGATCCTTTACCTCATTACCCTCATCTGTTAATTGAGCATTTAGCCAGTAAACATCTGTAAATATGGTACAGTATTCTTACAGTTACAGGCACGTGTACCTTTGAGGAACAGTGTGGGGCAATTTCCCCCATTTTCAACCATGTCAAATACCAGTTTTAGAATGATACAGTATTTCCTGGATAATTGTATGAGCACTTTTTTGAGCACCAAATGATGTCTTTTTAGATGTTCTTTGGGCAGAAGATTTTTGTAGGCCCTTAAATGAAGTTTCCTGCTTTCTAATAATTGGATATTTTATTCCTCTTTCAGCGTAAAAATATCCTGGAATCATCAGCCTTTCCTGTACATGTGTTTTCTGAAAAATTAGCAAGACTCTCTTACTTAATTACTGATCATTATTAACAACAACTTCAGCTTAGAGGAATTTTTATATTTGCTTGAGAATCGAAGATCAATTTACAGGAAGTACAGTTTTAACAGTCAGGGCCATCAACCTGGATACCATCCATATCTATACCATGCGGTCTGTGATTCAGGGCCAAACCATGCTCCCCTTTAAGTCAATGGGTCTGCCCAGGTGAGTGAGGCAAGTGGGATTGGTCCATACACCATAAGGTTATAAGAACAGCCAGGCTGGGTCGGACCAATGATCCATCTAGCCCAGTATCCTGTCTTCTGACAGTGGCCAATGCCAAGTGCCCCAGAGGGAATGAACAGAACAGGGAATCATCAAGTGATCCATCCCCTGTCACCCATTCCCAGCTTCTGGCAAACAGAGTCTAGGGGGGACACCATCCCTGCCCAGCCTGGCTAACAGCCATTGATGGACCGATCCTCCATGAACGTATCTAGCTCTCCTGGGGGTGGGGGGCAGCATCCGCCCCTATGGGCACACAACCGGATCAGAAAGCCTGGACGGGGCGTTATCGCTCATGGGCCCCGCCACAGAAACCACCGCAGCCAGAGCAGCGCCTGCACCTTTTCCTTCTCTTGCCAGGTAAGCGCCTTTCCCACGGGGGGGTCGTCCATGGCGCGCATCTCCGGCCCCTCCCGGACCCGGCTGCAGGCAAGGGCGGGGCGGGGGGGGCGCCAAGCGCCCCAGGCCGGGCGCGCTGTTCTGGGCAGGAGCCGGGGCTGCCCAGGGACGTTCACGGGCCGGGTGCTCGCTGCGCTGGCGGGAGCGAAGGGCTCCTCGTAGCGACCGCGGCCAGCGGGCCCCCTCCGCCCGCCCGCTTCCCTGCCCGGGCACGTCCCGAGGGGCCCCGAGTGCGGGGAGCAAACGGGCCTCAGAGGCCGGACCGGGCCTGGCTCCGCTCGCTCCCGGCCCCCGCCAAGCGCCTCAGCCCCCCATCCCCGGCTGCACTACGACAGGCCGGGGCCGGAGCGCGCGCCAGTGGGGAGTGACGACAGCAGGCGGCCGAGCTCGGGTTGGTCGGCGTGGAAGGCGCGGCGCCGATTCTGAGGAGAGATTGGCCAGTCCGTTGTGGGCGGATGTGACGCCGCGGCAAGCTGGGCGAAGATTGGCTGTGTTTGCGAGGAGGCCGGAAGCGGCGGTACGGAGGCCGAGCGGGGATTGGCTGGGAGGAGGCGGAAGCGGAAGCGGCGGCGGGGAGGCCGGAAGCGGCGGCGCGATGGAGCTGAGCGAGATGCTGTATAACAAGTCCGAGTACATCGAGACGGTGCGGGGCCTAGCGCCGCCCGGGCGGGGGGAGCCGGGGGAGTGTCGGGACCCTGCCGGGCCTGGAGCCCTGGAGCCGGGCGGGGGGTAGGGAGGGGCCGGCTCTGCCCCTGCGCCCCAGCCGGGGGCGGGTGTCATCCAGCGGCGCGCTCAGGGCGGCGCGGCCGGGGCAGCCCCTGGCCGTTTGGCAGCAGGTGCTGGGGGCTGCACCGTATGGTGACAGCGCCCGGGGGGGTCCGGCCTGTGGTCCCCGTAGCCCCGTAGGACAGCGGCAGATATTGAACAGGCCAATTATCAAGTGCCCCGTCCCTTGTCCTACAGCCCAGTTTTCGGCAGCCAGAGGGTTAGGGACACCCAGGGCACGGGGTTGCGTCCCTGACCATCTTGGCTAATAGCCATTGATGGACCTATTTTTTTAACCTACTTATACTTTTGGCCTCCACAACATCCCCTGGTAACAAGTCCACAGGTTGACTGTGCGTTGTGTGAAGAAGTACTTCTTTTGGTTTGCCTTTTAATTTCAGCTGGCAACCCCTCGTTCTTATATTATGGGAAGGGGTAAATAACACTTGCCTAGTCACTTTCTCAACGGCTCTAGCATAGCCTTCCTTAGTTCTCTCTTTTGAAGCTGAACAGTCCTACTCACTTTAATCTCTCCTTGTATGGAACCTGTATCCCCTCGTAATTTCTGTTGTCCTTTTCTGTACCTTTTCCAATTTTTATATACACACTTTCTTTCTCTATCTGAGATGGGGCGACCAGGACTGCATGCAGTACTCAAGGTGTGAGCATACCATGGATTAATATAGGGGCATTATGATATTTTCTGTTTTATTAGTTGTCTCTTTTCTAATGATTCCTAACATTGTGTTCACTTTTTTGACTGCCGCTACACGTTGAACGAATGTTTACAGAGAACTATCCATGATGACTCCCAAGATCTCTTTCTTGAGTGGTAACAGCTAATTTAGAACCCATTCTTTTTTCCAATGTGCATTACTTGGCACTTGGCAACCAAATGGCAGATGAAATTCATGTTGATAAGTCACTCTTTTTTTTTTTTTTTTAAGATTCCTTTGTAACTCTTTGCAGTCAACTTTGGATTTACCTATCTTGAGTAACTTAATATCATTTCCAAATTTTGCCACCTCACTGTTCACCCCTCTTTCCGCATCACTTATGAATATGTTGACAGCACAGGGCTCAGTATAGTTCCTTGGGCGATCCTGCTATTTGCCTATTTCCATTGTGAAAACTGATCATTTATTCCTACCCCTTTTTCCTATCGTTTAACCAGTTACTGATCCATGAGAGAACTTTCCCTCGTATTCCATGAATGCTTAGTTTGTTTCATTTCCCACAACTCCCACAGGAGACATGGCCCTGTCTTAAGGAGCATCCAGTCCAAGGGCTGGTCTTGACAGATAGGTAAGGGATGATTGCAGAGTGGACAGGAGGATGTGGGTCCTGGTCTCTGCATCTGAACTAGGTGCACACAGGTTTTGGTGTACAAGGCATCCAGGCAACCCTTGCCTGTGAGAGCTCCCACTCCAGAAGAGCAGGCTGCACTGGGAGGCCCAAAGGAAGGAGTTATCTGAGATTTTAAAAGTCTCTTTTTCGTCTTAGTTGCGTTGTTGTTTTTCCTACTTGCAGGCCTCCAAATTAGGGGGCCTTAGGAGAGAGGAGAATGACGAGGGTGATGGCCTAGCACATCTGTCACGTCTTCCTTGTATTCGTTACATTACAATATTAGTCTTCGAGCAGAGTCCCAATGGAAGATTTACTGCCAGAAGAAGAGAGTCAATGGAGGACAGTGGACTATTCCGCTGATACGACGTTGGATCTTGCCTAAGGACTAACGTCCAGGACTCCTGGAGGCAGCGTTAAAGCATTCTGTTTGCAAACTCTGTGTTATAAAATTCTATAATGAAGGTTCATTATAATAAAGGACCCCACACAATCCACAGATATAAGAAGACTTTTGTATCACAAGGATGTATTTCTGTCACTGATAGTCTCTCTGTCTCTTGGTTTCCCTCAGGCATCTGGCAACAAAGTCAGCAGACAGTCTGTGCTCTGCGGAAGCCAGAACATAGTTCTGAATGGAAAGGTGGGTAATACTAAGTCACGGGTGTACTTCTTGTAAAATTGACCATTTCTGTGGTTTATAGTCAAACTCTCGTGTGATAAATTGTATAATCAACTGCTTGACCACACTTCGGTTTGTTATGAAATATACTGAAGGCCAAATAACCAATGTCAGTCGGATTAATATGGTACAGGAATAAGGTTCTATACAATATAGTTTCTGAGAAGCCATGCCATGGTGATGTTACATTCATCTTATGCAACTGGTGTGCTCCCCAAATGATACATTGTAGCTGGTATTATTTATATGATGATTTTACAAGTTGTATATATCTTTACATGTCACTAAAGTCTAACCCATCAGATCCATCTCCTGGTTTTCCATCCCTGCCCATCCTGGATAATAGCTGTTGATGGGCCTATATTCCATGAACTTATCTAGTTCTTTTTTGTCCCAGTTCCCTATTTTGTTGTCCTGTTCCTTCCTTATCTTTGCTTTGGATACTAGCATTCAAGGTACTGGTCCGTGAAGGTACTTCCCTAACTAGTACTAAGACATACAACAAATGTATCTATAGATGTGTGTGGATAATAGATATTATTAATATGAAATATATTTGTTAGCCAGCATATATTAGTCAACACATGGCACATGTAGCTTCCTTGCAAATGAGCTTTATATTTCTAACCCTTTGCCTTTCACATTATTTTTCGCTCCCAGATTTAGTTCCTAGTACTGTGTTCTTCTAGTGCAGTTCTCCTGATTCATCTCTCTCTCTTATTTTATTGATCACAATTGTCATCCTCTAATATTTTTTTCTGTCAGCTGGGAGGAAGTGTTAACTAATGCTTAGAACAGGATTCATAGATTCCAAGACCAGAAGGGACCACTGTGATCATCTAGTCTGACCTCCTGCATGGCACAGGCCAGAGAACTTCCCCAAAATAATCCCTAGAGCAAAGATTTTAGAATAATATTCAATCATGATTTGAAAAATGTGGCTGATGGAGAATCCACCACGACCCTGGGTAAATTGTTCCAATAGTTCTCACCGTTAAAAATGTACACCTTATTTCAGTCTGAATTTATCTAGCTTCAACTTCTAGCTGTTGGATCAATTGCAGTATTGGGATCCAAAATCTCTGCACCGCTGTGTAGCCTTTGGGCAAGCTGCCTAACCTTTCTGTGCCTCAACCTGACTACTGGTGGAGTGGAGATAAGAACTGACCCCTTTGTATGGTGTCTTGAGGCTTCACTAATTTGGCTTGGGATGCTCTCATGAAAGGGACTTTAGCAGTGAATCTGCATTTTCTGTTCTCGTTCATGTGGTTTGCTCTGTAGGGCCACAATTCATATACTAATATGTGCTAGTGACAAAAGTTGGTGATCCTTGGGCCCAATGGAGCCCTGCTGTAAATATAATTTCATTGAAGTTACGCTAGTGATCCGTGTGCCCCTACATAGTATAATAAAGCTTACTGAAAACATTGGCAGAACTTGAACTCGTTTGGCTCTCTTTCTCTTGTTACCTAGACGATAGTTATGAATGATTGTATTATTCGTGGTGATCTGGCAAACGTAAGAGTTGGACGCCACTGCGTTGTGAAAAGCCGCAGTGTCATCAGGCCGCCTTTCAAGAAATTCAGCAAGGGGTAGGAGTTTCTATTTCTTCTGTGCTATGCTGTGAGGCTTGTTAAACTGAAAGGTGAACTTAGAAGCTTTGGATTTGCTAAGAGTTGAACTCAGGGGACTGTTTCTGTTGCTACAGTTTTGCATAAATCCTCCTAAATCAGCATTTTCTCCTATTCCCTGCTCTGCTTTGTGGGTCAGTATCCTATCAAATTGCAGCATGGAAGTCACTAGACTGAACTCAGAGACGTAAGTGAAGGAGAGTCTGACCTATTTATTTTAAATGTACATATTTGCAATCTTTAAGTCTAAATATATTTTGCTAGTGGTTAGGATTCTTAAACAATTCTGTTTAAACTCTTCAGTTCACCTTTTAAAAATACTTGCGCAATGGGAAATTACTTACTCCTTTTCTAAGTCCTGAATGCAGCCTGGGACTAGCACATACTCTTCCAATGCACCTCAGCCAGATCTAACTATATTACTACCATATTTTAATAATGTCTATAAAGGGAGAGTCTTGCATTGTACAATAGATGTCTCTGGTACTGGAGATAACTGGGCTGGAATATTATTATTTGTAGGGTCTGTTTATTTGTCCCTTGGTGTCTGTGGTTATTTAACATGCATGGAAAAACATCCCCAAACTAATCCATCAGGCTACTATACTTCCTTCTTTCAAGACCAGCCTCTGCCCAGGATGCAGTCTGTAAGAAATATCTGTAAGATGCCTATAGGAAATCAGCCAGTTAATGATGGCTAGGTTGTAGAGCAGTTGAGGATACCAAGTGGTTGCTTATTTGTAACAGAAGACGTGTATGTTCATATGTTACTTGTCATGTGTGGCCCAATCCTGCACTGAGAGGTGGCCCAGGGATCCCTGCACTCACCTGAAGCCCCACTGGAGACAGCTGGGCCCATCTGACTGCAGTATTGCTCGGTCCAGGGCTTTAGATACTATATTCCAGCCATAGTCTCCGAGGGTTGAGGAATTTCTAATATAAACGACATGCCTGAAATTAATTTAACTTTAAAATACCCTGTCAGACTTACTTTCTGCATCAAAAGAAGCAAAATGGCACAACCCTTTTTTTCCCCTTTGCAGTTTACCTCTGATGACCCACTAGTATCTAATATCTTGGCTGAAGCATTGGCAAATGAAATCCCTTATAGATTCCCATGTCTAAATGCACACTCAACCCACTGGCCTTTATTTAAATCTGATCTGAACCTCGAGCTGTCCTTTGGGACCATGTATCGGCTATAGATATTTTGCATTAACCTTCATACCCAGTCGTGGGCTATTATGGCCTTATCAATGTTTATCAGTAGATGGCCCTAAAAGGATTAAAATCACTTAATCGTTCTGAGCTTTCAGACTTCACTGCTTTATTCTTCTCATTCCTGCTTCCCATTGGGGACCCTAATTCAAAATGCTTTAACAGGCAGCTGGCCTAAAGCTCCTAAACAGCATGTTAAGCCCAGAAAATGTCAGACTTCGTGTGTTCAGTGTCCTAGCTGACTGCTTGGAATTGAAGAGTTAAAATTCAGTATTCCAAAGAGAACAGATTTAATGTTTTTCTCTCCGGTGAGTTTTAAATACAGACAGTTGCTTCATTATTTGAGCCCATTTGTGACAGCCGGAGAGGTACCTCTGCCCTGAAAAGCTTATGGTCTGTTGGGGCAGAATCACAAACCAGTTAATGTTAATGCTTTATTCGGCCATAGCCGGCTGTCAACCTCTCCCTGTCCCTCAGGCACAAGAGACACGCAGGAAACAAAGCTGGAGTGAACCAGGTGGTGACAATCTCTGGCCAGCAGCTCAGATGGCATAATTTAGAGCAGCTCTTGGGCTGCTGTTTCAGGCCCCATCCAGTCCCAGGAGCAAAACGGAGGTTTATAGACACTTTTTTCCACCTTCCTTCCTCTAAGTGGAGCTTGGACAAACCCAGGGATTCAGACCTTAAATTGTTTTTAAAAACACCATCTTGGTGATATTTTCATATGACCACAGAATCTTCTACTGTGACTGTTACAAGGTGCCTGGTTTGCGAACAGTTGCAGGAGACAATTTAATTCATGAGCAAATGAATGAATACAGTCCCTGGCTGTGCCCCTAGGGATGTCCTGCTCGAATATCCTCTAATACTCCAATTCTAGGGCACTTCCTGAGCAGTAAAGTGTCTGGTGCACTAGTAACACAGACCCATTAAAGAGCTGCTAGAGTTAGAAGGCAGCAATACTTGAACTTCTCCAAGTTTGTAACAAGCGAGCTGGAAGGATGGTCCAGTGGTTAGGGCCCTAGCCTAGTACTTGACACCCAGGTTCAATTCCTTGATACGCCATAGGCTTCCTGTGTGACCTCCGGCAAGCCACACAGGCTCTCTGTGCCTCAGTTCCCCATCTGTGCAATTAGATACTGTGGAGACGAGGGCCAGATGAGCACCTCAGGCAGAATGTCCATGAAGTCTTGGCTGGCAGGACCTACTTATATCCCTGCAGGCTGGTTTGGCTTCTCCTTGTGTCCCCTTCCCCCTCTCTCCCTGCACTAACTCCTATTGCAAAAAGTTAATGGCTATCAGCTGGCCTGGTTTGAAAAGTTGCTTGATAATCCTGAGGAATTAATATGAAATGCACCATTACTGGCCACATCTGTCTTGGCTCCAGGCCCTGCCTTTGGCAAGCTGGTGAGGGTGGGGACACTTACACGATTTTGGGTTTAATGCTATTGTGGATTCATCGGTGCTGCAGAGCCTGAACAAATAACCCCTTCTCCTTCTCCAGAGTTGCTTTCTTCCCTCTCCACATTGGTGATCATGTCTTTATAGAAGAAGACTGCGTTGTCAATGCAGCCCAGATCGGCTCTTACGTTCACATAGGCAAAAACTGTGTCATTGTAAGTACGCGTGGTCGGTCTTCTTTCTTTAAACCCCTCAAATACAGTTAAGGACTTGCACGTCCTTTTGCTGGCTCAGAGCGTCAGGGAAATTCCCATCCTTGGGTTAAGAGAGATGGACTAACTTTGGATTGGACCAGAGGTTCCCATACACTGGAACAGATGCTAGCCAAGGTTGGTCTGTATTGCCTTGGATGGTTCCCCCTTTGATTGCTCTCCTCATGTCACACCCCCTCCCTCAGCTTGGAGCGTGAAAACTCTTTGGGGGCAGAGACTGTGCTCTTTTGTATTGAGACTGCTTCTAAAGTGAAGGTGCTGCCAAAACCGTAACTGGTCCTGGTCCCTCAGGCTTCTGGGCTAAATATAAAGGTGGAGTCTGCTGGATCCCACTCAGGTGTGTATGCGCTCTGCTCTGTGATGGAGCTGGAGATTGGGCTTTGGCGAAGGGCAGAACACACACAGCCGACTGGGAAACAGCAGGTGCTAGCGAGGTTCTGAAACTGGCCCAGTTAGGTCTGGGAGGCCTTGAATAACAGGCCTAAGGCAAGTGTGGGGTTTGCCTGACCACGCCCAAGGGGGTCACTTGTGTAATGGATTATGCGGTTAGTGACGCTGCCTTGTTTTAGTTGAGAACAACCTCTGAATTCTACATTTATACCCACTGATAATGCTAGGTCCTGCAGCCTCCTCAGCCGCTTCAGAGGAAGAAAGGCAGCCAGCTGCTAGGAGTTCCGATTAACACGAAGTCTTTCTCATCACAGACATCAAACGCCGCAAAGCCACATTGCCTTCTGCTCCATACGAAATGTGGGGCTGGGCGAGGTGCCAGCATGTACTGCCTGGAAGTGATCAAAGCTAGCTGGGAAGGCAGGAATGAGCCAGTGGCACAAAGAGGGAAGAATGCAATAATGGCTTGATGTTGACAGCCGGCAAAAATGGGGGTGGGTGTAATTAAATGAGGTAAAAGGCCCTTTCTGAGGCCTGTAACCTTATTACCTGAGACACCTTCAGTTTCTTCTCTCCAAGAGTAGCTGGTGGAGGCAGGAGAGGCCCCAAGGGCTCCTTTTTCAGAGCCCGTGTCCAGGGGTATCTCTCTCCCTCCCACAAGGCAAACCAGGCTGGAAGACATTAGAAAAGCCTCATGAAGGAACTTACATACAATGGCATTGTGAGGCCTCTATAGCTCCTGTCTGCCTATAATGAATGGCCAACAAATGACTCCCATTAGAAATGGCTTTCTGTATCAGTTGGCAGTTTATCATCAAGATTAATGTGTAGTTTGCTGTATCATCATTCAGCTAAATGAACGTATGGAGCATTAATTGCTAATCGTTTCAGACAGGCTGCCAAGCGTCTTTGAACAGGGTGACTCTTTCAAAAAGGTTAATGTCCTGAGTTGCATTAAATATTGCAGCAATTTCAGTCTAATCGCTGTTACCTGTTTCAAAGACATGCTTGTTCTTTTCAAGCATTGTGTTTACACAAAGCTAGACAAGTGGACGGTCCTATTAATTGCTATTTGTTTCTGGGCTTTGTCTGCCTCTTTAAGCCAAATAAAAGCAGTTGGGTTATTGGCATGCGTTAGGAATTGCTGATGTCAGGGTATCCAGAGGAGAGAGTGCTTTTCAGAGGTACAAGTGGAGCTCAGCACAGGTAAAGATAATGCCATACAGTCAAGGTTATTGACTACTGCAATGGGGAATATTTTGCCCAGTTACTACATGGTTAGGACTACCAATTCCGACTTGAATATCTACTTACCAGAAGTGACTTGTTTTAATATGCAAATCCCTACTGTGCATTTATGAGGAACACACAGATTTTTCCACACAGAAGACCATCTCTGCTAGTATGTGTTGATTGGTAAAACATTAAAGTTTGCAATGTATGTTAATGCACAAAAAGTTATTGTTGGCCAAAGTTACATAAAACATTTTTATACCTGCTCGGAGTGTATGGAAGCAAAGAGAGAGACTAGTAACTGTAGTGAGTGCACTAATGATTTCTAGACAGCCAGCATGGCACTAAGGGCTTATCTATACTAGAACATTTTTGCTGCTTTAATTATGCTGATATAATTTAAAGGGCATTTGCTGTTTTGTGTGGATGGAGTATAAGGGCAACATATCAGGATAGCTGATTTTGCTTCCCAAAGCAGAAATAAGCTATACCAGTATAAGGTAGCTTTATCCAGTATAACTGCATCCATACTAGGGCTATACCAGGACAACTACTGGTAAAAAATCACACCCCTAACCAACATAGTTACGCTGGTGTAACTTCTAGTATAGACCAGGCCTAATAGTGAAATCAGCAATCCGAGCTGAGAGGAGGAGAACCCTGGGCTGCAGGCAGACATCTTGCTTCTTACAAACAGCCCTCGCAACGGCTTTGACTAATCAAGAACAGTCAGACTCACTTCTGAATATTAGAGACATGAGTAGGAGTAAGACAAAGTGTGGTGTTGTTGTTGTTATACAATCAAACGGAATCCGGTCTTTGTTTTAGGGTCGTAGGTGTGTTTTGAAAGACTGCTGCAAAATTCTAGCCAACACAGTTCTACCCCCTGAAACCGTGGTCCCGCCTTTTACAGTCTTTTCAGGCTGCCCAGGTAAAGTCCATTTAATTTTACTTCCAGTATAAATTCAGCTAACTTATATCCTGATATTTAAAAGAAATACAACACATTGATGTGGAGAAGGCCAGGTAGACTCCTTGATTGCACTGTCTTCTAGTAAGAGAGGGGAGGGAAGTGCTCAGCTAAATGAAAAGTAACAATTCTAACCAGTGGAACTCACTGTCTCAGGATATTATTGGGACAGGAGCTTAGTATGAGTAAGCATAGCATCTGCACATTCAGTAGCAAGGCTAATACAGCTAGGGCCTGTCAGTCTGATTGCCAGCTTGGACCATTCTTAGTTACAGAATCACTATCCATCAGAGCTCAGAATCAGCAAGGTGGCCTATCAAGCATCCAGCATTCCACAGGCAGGTCTGCTTTGGCATCAAGAAAGAGTCTCCTCTTCTCTCCCATATGCTCTGGATTTGTAGCTGCCTCCATAAACACAGCTGGAGAGAATTCTGTTAGACCACTGTGCATGTACTACATACATGGGTAGATGCTCCAAACTAAAGCCTGTGAATCTCCTGTTAGACTACCCTTCTGTGCTGTTACAGAGCCCACCCCAACAGCACTGCTGACCAGACCGGAGGTGTAAATGTTCCAGTCATTTGGAAACAGCCGTGGTGGAAAGGTCAATGTAACCTTTGTTCCCTTGGTTACTAGCCTTTCTTTAGGAAAGAGCTTTCATGACCCTTGTTTATCGAGGGTGGGTGTAAGCCATAAAGGGATCTAGCTGGAGACAGACTGCCTTACTACATCTCATGGGGAAGCCACACTATTGTGTTGATCTACATGAGAGCAGTGTCCCTACACGAGCCCATCGGTTGCTGTTTAACCTGCAGTATATAGAGCATAAATACTAGAGGAGAAGCTGAATAAAACTCTCCCAGGCTCATTGCTTCCCAAGAGAACACGTGCACTCATGCTCTTCTTGGTTTTTCAGGGCTCTTCTCTGGAGAACTCCCAGAGTGCACCCAAGAGCTGATGATGGATGTTACAAAGAGCTATTACCAGAAGTTCTTGCCACTTACTCAGGTCTAGTAGCCTATTTACTGTGTTTCAGAGAAGTAAAGGCACTACAGGGAGCTTTGGGGAGGGGAGGGATGTTTAGTGAGCTCTGCTGTTTGGAGTGGCATGTCCTCGCTCTGTGCTATTAACACTACAGCTCCAGCAAGCAGAACCTTGTGAAAAGTTGCTGTGTCTTGTTTAAACTTTGTATATTTACTCAGATGTATTTCGTTCCACACTGTCTGTGAGGTGCGCCAGTAAATGTTTTGGGGTTGGAGTGCAGTTACAATTCCCGCTAGACTAATGCATCCTGCTGCTGTTGAGAAATGAGGCAGGACCCCACTGTAAATACTTCCTAGCCAAAGTGAATTGCACACATCTGTTCTGTTCAGCCTGACAGTGCGTCTGACTGTTAGAAATAACCTTCGCTCTTGAACAGAGAGGCTGTGTGGCCAACATCCTCATTAAGAGTGACTACCGTAAATCCTTACTAAGAGCCAGGATTGTCCTTCATCTCCCCTCTAGCCCATGGACCAAGCTTCTCTCCCACACTAAGAACAGAACATCTTCTGCCTCCCTTAGCTCGCTTCAAAGCTTTCAGTAGCCTACCTACCCCACAGGCCTATGGGCAGAGTCTGGGCTTTCTCTGCCCTGTCTGAAGGGAAACGTGTCACCATCTGGTTACTTCTAGCAGTAGAGACATTTACCTCCACTAATCCCAAATGCCTTGCAGGGTTAGTTTTCATGGCTGATGCCCGTTTTTCTTCTGAGCATCATGCAGCTCAGAGTTAGCTGGGATTATGGAAAGAGGATGCCCTCTGCGGCACTGAATTATCTGGAACCAAAAGTGGGGGAGTGTGGCATTTGTCCAGGGTTGCAGTGCTGCATGGGGCACAGCCTGTTGGCAGCTCTTACTTGCGGTGTAAAACTGTAACATGAAAAAAATCAAAAATCCCTAGAAAAAGTAGGGAGTGGCATTTTGGGCACTGTTCAGATGCTGGGCATAATTCTTATGGAGGTAGCCTGTGTGCCTAACTCACATGAGGCTACAAACTCCACACACCTGACTCCTGTAGGGTGGGCCCTGCCAAGGATGAACAGAGTTTCCTTTTGTTAGATTGTATTCAAACTTAACATTACCCCTTCCCTGCTGACCGTGGGGGCCTCTGTGCGGTCTCCTGCACTGATTGGGGAGCCAGGGTGTATGGCAATAATGTTGTAGGCATGTGGTGGTGAGAATAGCAGCAAAGGGCCTTTAGCTGTTTTGTATCACGTAGGGCTCTGATACACATTAACTAACTAGCAGCTATATAAATACTGCCTGTGTTGTAACTACGGTTAATCAAATGTAACACCACTGTCTGGGTTGTTTGTGTTTTTTACTGTACATAAATTAAAAGCCTCTTATATGGGTCAAGTGACTTGAAAGTTGTAACTTTCCAAATCAAATTGCTCTGAAAGCAGAGTAAGCGTTCTGCCAAGGGCACCGAGTTCCTGCGGTGTTGATGGACTCATGCCACATTCTATTGTTCAGAGAGAGGCACTGGAGCTATTACCAGGCATTAAAGAGCCTCTTGCATCACCAGAAACAGAATAACTCATGCTGTTGCTGTCTGTTTCACCTGTATACCTAGAAACAGAAAAATAAAATTCTAGGGCCATTGATGGGGAAACTGTCCTGAAAAACTCTAATAAACACTTACCGACCTTGCACAAAACTGTCCGCTCAGCTTTAATAACTGTGATAACAGGTCCCAGCCAAAAAATACTACTAGCTCCAGCCAGGTAGAGAACGGAAGGTGGGTATAAACGGTTGCATGAAGGTAAGAACTCTCCAATTTTGCCAAGTACAATTAAGAGGCAGATAGAGGCAAAGGCATCCTCTAAAAACTGGAATTCCAGCCCTAATGAGGAAAATAAAAAGGAACATAAACTCTGGCAAATCAAGTATAATTGGGCAGGTCAAAAAAGAATTTGAAAAGCAACTAGCAAAAGACTAACTAACAGCAAATTTTTTTAACTATATCAGAAGCAGGAGGCCTGTCAAACAATCACTGGGGCCACTGGAAGATTGAAGTGCTAAAGGAGCACTCAGGGAAGACAAGGCCAGTGCGGAGAAGCTAAATGAATTCTTTGAATCGGTCTTCACTGTAGAGGATGTGAGGGAGATTCCCACACTTGGGCCATTCCTTTTTAGGTGACAAATCTGAGAAATTTTCCCTGATTGAGGTGTCAGTAGCTGGGTTTTTAGAACAAATTGATTAATTAAACAGTAATAGGTCACCAGTATCAGATGGTTTTCACCCACGAGTTCTGAAGGAACTCGTATGTGAAATTGCAAAACTACTAACTGTGGCATGTAACCTATTGCTTCAATCAGCCTCTGTACCAGGTGACTAGAGGAGAACTAATGTGACTCTGATTTTTAAAAAAGGCTTCCGAGATAATCCTGTCAATTGCAGGCTGGGAAACCTGACTTCAGTACCAGGCAAATTGGTTGAAACTCTGGTAAAGAACAGAATTATGAAACACATGGATGGATATGATGTGTTGAGGGGAAAGTCAACACAGCTTTTGTAAAGGGAAATCATGCCTCACCAATCTACTAGAATTCTTTGAGGTTGTCAACACGCATGTGAATAAGAGTGATACGGTGTACATGGATTGTCAGAAAGCCTTTGACAAGGTCCCTCACCAAAAGCTCTTAAGCAAAATGAGCAGTCATGGGATAAGAGGGGAAAGTCGTCTCATGGATCAGTAACTGGTTACAAAATAGGAAACCAAGGGTAGAATAAATGGAGTTTTCAGAATGGAGAGAGGTAAATAGCAGGGTCCCCTAAGGATCTGTACTGGGACCTGTGCTGTTCAACATATTCATAAATAATCTGGCAGAAGGGTTTCAGAGTGGTAGTTGTGTTAGTCTGTATCAGCAGAAGGGGTACACAGCGAGGTGGCAAAGTTTGCAGATGATACAAAATTACTCAAGATAATTAAATCCAAAGCTGTGAAGAGTTACAAAGGGATCTCTGAAAATTGGGTTATTGGGCAACAAAATGGCAGGTGAAATTCAGTTTTCAGTGCAAAGTAATGCACATTGGAAAAAAATAATCCCAGCTAGACATACAAAATGATGGGGACTAAATTATCTGTTACCACTCAAGAAAATTTTGTGAGTCCTCATGGTTAGTTCTCTGTAAACATTTGCAGCAGTAGTCAAAAAAACTAACAGAATGCTAGGAACCATTAGGAAAGAGATAAAACAGAAATTATATAATCCCACTACATAAATCCATAGTATGTCCACACCTTGAGTACTGTATGCAGTTCTAGTCAACCCATTTCAAAAATGATGTATTAAAATTAGAAAAATGTACAGAAAGGGTCAACAAAAATGATTAGGGGTATGGACCAACTTCCATTGGCGGAGAGATTAAAGAAGACAAGACTTCATCTTAAAGAAAATAAGATGACTGAGGGAGGGATATCATAGAGGTCTATAAATCCTAAATGGTGTGGAGAAAGTGAATAGGGAAGTGTTATTTACCCCTTCACACAACACAAGAACAAGGGGTCACCCACTAAAATTAATAGCAGCAGGTTTAAAACAAACATAAGGAAGTACTACTTCACAGAACACACAGTCAACCTGTGGAACTCATTGCCAGGGGATGTTGTGAAGGCCAAAAGTATAACTGGGTTCAAAAAAGAATTAGAGAAGTCCATGGAGGTTAGGTCCATCAACGGCTATAGCCAAGATGGTCAGGGATGCAACCCTGTGCTCTAGGTGTCCATAAACCTCCAAACTGGGACTGGATGACAGGGTATGGATCAGTTGATAAATTGCCCTGTTCTGTTCATGCCCTCTAAAGCCCCTGGCACTGGCCACTGTCAGCAGACAGGATACTGGGCTAGATGGACCCATTGGTCTGATGCAATATGGCTGTTTTTATATTCTTAATCCCTTGGAGTTAATTGAAAAGTCACACTCTTAAGAAAACCAAGTGCAGTGGGAAGCCTTGCCACAAAATGAGCCCCACTGACCTCAGTGAGTTTCAAGTTTGAAGAGGTGATGCAAATTGCCCACTTTAGCTTTAATTCCTCCCACCCTTAAAGAGTAGGGAAATAAAGAAGAGCCCTGCTCATAGAAGGGGGAGTGGAGAGATTGTTTCTGAAACAGGCAGCCACAACTGTAGCCCCCAGTTATCCTTAATAGGGAAGTGTAGGTTATGGAGACTCCATCTCCCAGCTTGCCGTATTCCAGCCGGAACTGTGGTAGTCCCGTCTCTTAAGAGCTGGGGTGTCTATCCTCATGTGTTATCCTAATTCCAATTTGGTAATTGCATTCTGCCTACATCAATTATCCCTGTAATGTTAGTTGGATACAGCATCCTTTGGTTCCTGTCATACTGAGGTGCACTGTTAAACGGCCATGTTCCACCTGCCCCCACCCTGAGCTGATGGTATTCAGCGACAGGTGAAACAATATCTACAGCTATCTGCAATGGCCCTGCAGCACGAGACTTTCTTACCCTGATTATCATTACTAGAAATGAGAGTCCTGAGGGCACCCAGCCCATTTTAAAATCCAGCCAGTTCCTCTCTCCAGCCCTGAAGTGTAAGCATCCCCAACCCTCTGCAATAGTTCTATTGTTGCTGCCTCAAGCACTTGGAAATGCCCCTGTTTTCTTCTGACACTATAATTTTCTAGGAGGGTGGGATTCCTTTTCCACCTGCTCCTCAGCCCAACCAACGCTGGCAGGCCCCCTGAGATCTGATTTTACATGAGAGCTAAAATGACACAGGGTTGGTGTAGTGGCTGTTGGGTCATAGAATCATAGAATATCAGGGTTGGAAGGGACCTCAGGAGGTCAT